ATTACCTCTGGTGTGTTACATCTCATAAATACCAACATTCTAAATAGGTGACTTTTAAAATCCACACCATGGATCCACCCCGTAAATTATTCAAATACAATGATGGTACCTCCAATCGATCTAAATGGTTTGACTTTGACGCTTTTAACCGGGCGGTTGCACACAGCACACAGCAGTTCGACTGCTGCAGCAGTCGAACCCATTGTTCAGTCAGGGGCTGGTAGTCACAATCAGCTATGCATCAGAGAGATACCTAATTTCAACGCGCGAGCGCCTTGATTTTAGGGACATAAGTCTCGATGATCCAGAACAAGTGCCAGAAAGAGTTAGAAGCTGCTTAGCTAATGTGATAGATAGAGCAGTGACTGGATCTCAGCAGGGTTGTGTTCTAAATGTGGTCCTACGGGGGCCCTCACTGGCTTCTGATGTTCAAGCTGTTTTAAATCCTGATAATCAGTATGATCCTGACCTGTTTCTCGAACAAATAGCACAAGTTATGCAAAGTAACGATGAATCTATCGGTGATGACGAATTAGAGTTTATTGTCACGGTTGCACAAAACAGTAGCGGAGGTGTTCGCTTAAAACTGGCAAACATTCCTTATGATGAGATTCTCTCAAAGAAGGGTAAACATTTGTACACACCAAAAAATACGCAAAACAATTTGTGTTTCTCCCTGTGCATAGCACATTCATTAAACCCAACAGTATCCGAACATGAAAAACATGCTACTGCTAAACAGTTACATGCTCAAGTAGGTCTATGCGACACACAGACAGTATCATTCTCTGATGTCTGCAAATTTGAGAAGCACCTAAACATTAAGATAGTAATCTACTATCACGCAGCAGGGCGTAAACGTCTGCTTAGTTTCTTCACATGTGATGAGCCAAATCCAAACACTGTAATGCTGTACCTACACTGTCATGGTCCCTATGCCTCCCCGGCCAGCCCAGTGTGGCCACAAGTGTTTGTTGTTTTTCTCTCGCTCTGTCTCTCCTACCTGTCTGCCTGGGCGGAGCTCTGATTGGGCTCCTGCCCTTGGCCCACGCACCTGCAGCTGATCTTGAGCGAATTGCAGTTCTCTGGCTCTTAAGGCTGGGGCTCTGAGCTATTCGTCGCTGGAATATTGAATAACTCTCGCTAGTATTGCCTGGCTTCCTTGCGACTCTACTGTTACCGTGTTTTGCCTTCGACTTACCCTCGTCTGTGTAACAGGTTTGACTGGATCAGCCCTTTTGTGACCCCTGGACCCCGTGAGTAGGAGAGTGAGCTAAGCTGCTCACTGTTAACCTTTGCTGTATTTTTCACAGTAAAATACCACAAAATGCCCAGTAACTTACCTGAAAACATTTCTACAGTTAATTACTGTAATTTGCTTTGCATTATGGGTATATTAAGGTTTTTTACATTTACTTACTGTATTTTTTAAAATTGCGGTAGTAGTTATACCTACCGTTAACACATTAGCAGTAGTGCTACTGTATTATGTGATTTGAATGGTTCATCATACTGTTTGTGTATTTTTACTCTTTCAGTGGTTGGTTGCAATAGTGCATTACATTTTAACTCTTTCACTGCCAACCATTTCCAGATTTTCCTCCAACCTATGCCATTTGTCAGTATGATACCAGTGAAAGTATTATGGTTTTGACTTTTTAGGGGACTTGCCTGTGTGTAAGGTTCAAGAATTCTGATCATCTAATCTGCTGCATGCAGTTGTATGCACATGCACAGCTGCTGCAAATGTGTGCTTGCCACTGCGTTGCCAAAGGCGAACTTCAGTCAGTGGAGAATATTGTAATAATTTGGTGGAGGCTTCTCAGTCGAGCAGTAACTGAATTGCTCATTTACATGTACAGAACTCTTCTGGGAACTAGTCAACCCAACTTAGTGAAACACACACTGAATGCATGCTGGCCCCGCCCACCAACCTATCTCTACCAACCACCACTCCATATCCTGACTGACATGACCTGTGATCCAGTGATTGACAGGAGAGGAAAGACAGGCCAACTTTGCTAACTCTTCGTTACGATATGCTTGAGAGGACAAAAGATTTTGCACCTTGTTATTGTTGGACCTCTGTGTGGAAACTGCAAACGGGACGTAATAAGGTAATGCAAAGGACTCTCCTACCTAACATACTCGTTTATTAATTTTTAAGAGCATATATTTTTTTTGTGTGTGGGGGGGAGGGGGGGCTTAAATTCGGTGTTAGCTTGGTCGAAATAGCACATTAGCTGAATTATTCTGGAAAAAATAGGTTGTATGTGTTTTTTTCTTTTCTTATTCAAATAAATATTTAGATATATATTTTCCACGGGGAGGGGCGAGGAACACAGGCGCAACGACAGTCTTTGTCTTTTTCCCGCCGAGTGTGGTGCATTGTCCTCCTGCGCTCCATGACTTTTGAGAAGCTGGCCATGCTAACAGTGGGACATTTAGCTTCAGCTAAAGCAGCAGGTAAAAATACACATTTAATGAGAATAATGTAAGACAACTTTTTTTTTTTGGAAATTTAGAGACTGCTAAAACAATCTTATCCAGTTTTGAGCTTGCTCATGTAGGTTAGCCTGCTTTATTTAATTTTGTGTGAGCTGCAGTGCACAACATTAAAAAGTTAATATAACGTTAGGTTGGTGGCGGGAGGAACTCCAACCTAAGTTTAATATTTATTATTTTTTTAAGTGGGAAGGGGAGCATGTTTTTTTTCCTTTAATACCACGTCTTCCAGGGTCTTTTTCATATGAAAACCATGTAACGTCTGTGTTAGGTTGGTCAAAAGGGAATTAGTTGAATTATTCTGGAAAAGATGGGTTGTGTGTTTTTTTTCTTTTTTTTACTTATGTAAATATATTTTTCAAGGGTTAAATAAATGCAACATTAAATTAACAGTTGTCTCTCTGTCTTTTCCCGCCCAGTGTGGTGCATTGCTGTCCTCCTGCCCTTGCTGGCCGCGCTGACAGTGTGATGTAGCCTCAGTTCTTTGACAGACAAGACAAAACAGCAGGTAAAAAGACATATTTAGTGAGAATAAAGGTAGACAACATTTTTTTGGAAATTCAAATTCAGACACATGCAGCCATGTACAGGTGTAAATTTTGTGGTGTTTTTTGTTCAGAATTAAGACAATTTTGTTATCATACGAAGAAACATCAGCACACAGCTAATTATCGATTCACATGTGGAATAGAGCAATGTCCTTCTTCCTATCGAACATTTTCTGCATTCAGATCCCATATGCACAGGAACCACCGCTATCGCAGGGCTCAGACTAAACACACCCATTTTAAAGGAAATCTTGCTTGTGGAGTTGAGGCATGTTTCTATGTGGCAGAGAATTTTTCAGCATTATGCACTCATTTGAGATTTCATATTAAAGATGGCAAGAAAGTTGTCTGTCCTTATGATGACTGCCACAAACATTTCAGAGTGCGCTCATCTTTTGCCACACATTTATCCAGGAAACATAAGCCGGTGATAACAACTCAGGTGTCAACTCTCCCCGAAAATATAGACTGTACTCAGCCTTCTGAGGAGACTCTGACTCCAACTCCATGTGATCATCTAGAGGAGTGTGATAATCAACAAGAGACATTTTTACATAATTTGGCTCTTTTCTACCTGAAAATGCAAGCCAAGATGCTGTTGCCAGCGAGCACAATACAATGTATTCTTGATGGATTTCTGCATGTCCATAGCACTTCTATGGCAGATGTTTTTGACAAGTTGAAGGGCAAGCTTTCTGAGCTAGACATACCACAAACTGAGATAGAAATGATTATTCAAAATCTCTCTAAAGAGGATGTCTTCACAATATACAACAAAGGAATACTCAGATCTGACAAAACAATGGGAACATTTTACAAGCAGTATTTTGACTATGTTGAACCCACCCAGATTTATCTGGGAAGTGATGCTGCTGGAAAGGAATGCTTTTGCCAGTACATTTCCATCAAAGAGACATTAAAATCACTCCTTAGACAGTCAAGTGTTAAAGAGCAATATCACCAATCCAAAAATCATACCTCTTCCAACATGGTTGTAGAGGATGTGGCAGATGGAAGAAATGTGAAAGAAAATGCTCTGTTAAAAGACAATCCTTCTTCATTGTCCATCATCCTTTACCAGGATGGATTTGAGGTTGTGAATCCTCTTGGGTCAGGGAAGAAAAAACATAAAGTTTTGGGGGTTTACATGAGTCTTGGTGAGGTCCAGCCACACAATCGCTCTTCAGTTGATCCCATGCAGTTGGTGATGCTGTGCAGAGAAAGGGACTTCAAGACATTTGGTCAGGAGAAAGTTTTCTCAAGTATTATCACAGACCTTAAAGATCTAGAAGATACAGGGATTGAGACAGATGATGGAAATACCCTCAAAGCGGCCTTGATTTCCATTTGTGGAGATAATCTTGGTTCACACTGCTTAGGTGGTTTCACTGAAAACTTCAGTTGTAGTACAAATTTTTGTAGATACTGCTTGATTGAAAGGACAGACTTTGAAAAGACACCACTAAAGCTTGGTCCAAAAAGAACCATCACTGGTCACAAGGAGAGTGTACAACAGCTATCCACCACTGACCAAGACATGGTACAGGGGGTAAAGTTTGACTCACCTTTCAATTCTCTGAAATATTTTCATGTCTGTACTGGGCTTCCCCATGTTTGGGTCATGATTTATTTGAAGGTGTAGTCTCTAATGACATTTCAGCACAGGCCAAAATGCAAAGACATAAGGCAGTTTTTTCCTGTAATTGATCATAATTTTCATTAGATAATAAATAATAAGAGAAATAGCAGCAAACCGTGTGCATTCTATTTTTGTACAGTGTGAGGCCTGCTATCCAGCATTCTTGTGGAAACCTTATTTGTAAGGGTGAGCACATTGTCTTATTGGACTCTTGTCTGTTTTTAGGGAATAATTTCATGTCTGCAAGCCGCTAGATGATCAGTTTGGAGGGCAAGGTATTTTATGAGCCTGAGCAGATGCATGACTTCGCCAGCACCCTTGCTGTCTTCTTTGCGTCATACTACGTTTTCAACCTTGAGTATCAGGAGTCAGCGTCCATCACACTGGAGATGATACAGAGGTAAATACTTTACACCATTTAAGAATGAAATATATGTGATAGCTTGACTACAGTTGCAGAAACATATAGGTGATTGCTGTAACGTATGTTTTAATTTTGAAATTAAAGCAGCCTTTTTTCCGTTAAAAGGTTCTTTGTGAGGATCAATCCAGACATGGGAACAAAATGCCCTGCAAAACTTGGTACAAGCCGCAAGACAGGTCGTGTCGTAAAGAGGAAGGTTACAAGCATCAGCCCTCGGATCACCACCTTCCTCCAGCGGCTCTCTGAGTTTGAATGGAGGACTTCCAACTAGGTAAGAACAGAGATGATAATATCTTTTACATAGCTGATAATTATATACATACTGTACACACATCCATACAACAGTATGAATGATCTCAGACAGATGTGAACAAGTGAATAACCTGAGCAAACATGAATATTGATTATGTGTCTTTGACAGGTGGTGATGTAGACTACGCTGAACCCGACCATCCTGGTAACGGAAATCTAAATCCCATGTCACATTCTATTTCCTGGGACCCACTGATAATTATTACATTTTGTAAATGAGTTTTGTTTTACAATTGTAATAGTTTATTTAATGTTCATGCTGGTGGGTTTGTCCTGTTTTTAGTGGAATGAAAAACTGTTTTCCTTAAAAAAATCAGACAGAAAGGTGAAGGACTGTGTAGTTTTCATGTACGCTTTTATTTATTTTGGTTATTGGCATTGTTTTTATTCAGTTGAAAAATGTTTTTCTTGTTAAAAAAAAATATCAACAATAAATGTTGGTTTAATTCACTATTCTGAGACTACTTTATTGAATTATATTGTTTTTTGTAAATGTTCTTATATTGAATATGAATGTTAATATTATGTTATATGCTGTAAAACACAATTACAGTCTAAACAAATTATACTGTACACAATTACAGTGTTATACCATAAACCACATTTGCAGTACAGTGATACTATAAAACTTAATCACGGTAAGTCTTTCTAACTGTAAACCACGTTTACAGTAAAGCTGTTATACTGTAATATATGTTTACAGTAAAGTGGTTGAACTGTAAAACATCACAACAGTAAAGATACTGTAGATCAGTAATTACAGTAACTTACTGGCAATAGTGTTGCCAGTAAGTTAATGTAAAAATACAATAAAATGTCTAACAGTGCTTGTGTGGAGACTGTTTGGACGAGGAGCAGAGCGAGTGCGAAGAAGTGTGTCTCCCCAGCCTACTGATCCCCGGGACCCTGGTGTTTCCCTCCCCTTCACGTGTATATAGTGCACCGGTGTGATTAATAAAGTGTCGTTGAGCTGTGCTACCTCAGTCTGCGCCTGAGTCCGTCCACCGCCGTGACATACACAATGAACACTATCACCTGATTGAAAAGCCAACAGCGTTTCTCGGGGCATGCTATGTTTGTAATTACTGTTACAACACATAGGAAGCACCGCTCTATCACAGCTGTAAATATAGATGCAACATATGTTTCACACTCTGTCATCACCACAGTGGTCCCACCGTGAAATGCAGTGACTGTAACCACATCTGCAAATCACAACACTGTTACCGACAACACAAATTACCAGAAATAAAACACAACATGGTCCCATGTGACAATATGAAGTATTGCATGAGTTGTGGTGTCACATATAAAGAATCAAAGAAATCACCACACAGATGTGTCCACCCTAAATGCGAGCACTGCAGTGAGCCTAAATTAGCCAGGGACTCTGAGCATCAGTGTTTCATACAGCCTGTTGAAAAACGGAACCCTTGTGATGAATATATTTTATATGATTTTGAGACACGGTATCACAACGGCAGACATGGGGCCAACTTTGTGTGTGTGTGTCTGATCTGAAGGGTAACAAGTTCACATATAATACATTAAAATGTGTGGAGGCGTTTGTGCAGCATTACAGACGTCCGAGGTTTCGTGGGTACACATTCATAGCCTATAATGCATCTGGCTTTGATAACTACATACTTCTGGAGTACTTTGTCAAGCAACATATAACACCTACCGTCACAATGAGAGGGAGCCGTGTGATTCTGATGCATGACAGGGACTATGACCAGCGGTGGATTGATTCGTTCAGCTTTTTGCCCATGGGACTTGCCAAAATACCCTCTGCTTTAAGTTTTCAAGACCTGCAGAAGGGTCATTTCCCACACAGATTCAACACTAGGGATAATGAGTATTATGTTGGTCCATACCCAAACCCCTCCTTCTACGGCTATGAGCGCATGTCTGAAAGTGATAAGGTGAGCTTCATGGAATGGTATCAGACCGCCTCACAGAACCCCTTTGATTTTCAGGCTGAAGTCAGACGCTACTGTGTTAACGATGTTGATGTCCTGCGTAAAGCATGCATCATTTATCGTGACACGCTGCTGGATTGTACACAAGTTGATCCATTCATGTATACCACCCTGGCTGCGTTCAGTATGGGTGTGTGTATAAAACACTGTTTCTGCCTAGAGACACGCTCGCTCTCACGTATGATGGTGCATACGTTGAGCAGAATAAGACGTTTTCAAACGTCTCTATTGAATGGCTGTCCCACACTACCAACACAGTGATAAAACACGCACTCAGAGGAGGCGAGCATAGGGTTGGACCATATTTTGTGGACGGCTTTGACCCCACAACTAACAAGGCTTACGAATTTGCAGGATGTTTTCACCACGGATGTGTTAAATGCTACCCCGAGAGTGAAGTTAATCCTGTCAGCAAAGCATCCTATGGACTGTTGCACCGTATGTTTTGTGACAAAGTGGATGCACTGAGATCGCAATACCATTTGACCGTTGTTGTGATGTGGGAGTGTGAATGGACTGTACTGAAGCAGACAGACCCTGCAGTTGTGGCTTTCATGCACACATACAGAAGGCCAGAACGCCTAAATCCCCGAGACGCCCTTTTTGGCGGTCGCACAAATGCTCTAAAACTGTACCACAAGGCAGCGTGTGATGAAAAAATATTTTACTACGACTTCACCAGCCTCTATCCCACAGTGCAATCTAAAAACGATTATCCTGTAAGACACCCACAAATCATTTACAGCAACTTTGACAGGCTAGAAAATTATTTGGGCTTTGTTAAATGCACAGTATTGCCACCAAGAGGGCTTTTTCACCCCGTACTTCCCTACAGGTGCCATGGTAAACTGATGTTTCCACTCTGCAGCATGTGCGCTGAAGACCAGAATCAGCTCACTGCCTGCGGGCACAGTGACAGTGAATGGGTGTTGAAAGGTACATGGGTCTCATTTGAGCTTGAAAAAGCTGTTGAGCAAGGATACAAGCTTGTTTCTATTGATGAGGTGTGGCATTTCCCCAACAAGACTGACACATTGTTTAAAGACTACGTGAAAGCCTTTCTAAAACTTAAACAGGAGGCCTCAGGGTATCCAGAACATGTGAAAACCCCTAACGAACAGCAAGAATACATAGACAAGTATCATGAAAAGGAGGGAATAATGCTAGATCCGTCCAAAATATGCGTAAATAAAGCTGTTCGAAACTGCAACAAGCTGTTGCTAAACTCGTTATGGGGTCGTTTCAGTATGAGGTCAAACATGGCGTCATCTGAGCTCATCACAGACCCGTCCAGGTTTAGCCAGCTAATGTTCAGCGACCAGTACGACGTGCGGCAGTTTTGTTTCATCTCTGACGACGTCGCCATGGTGCAGTGGCGCCACGCAGATGGTAGAGCTTCCCGTGTGAAAGACGTTAATGTCTTTGTGGGCACCATGACCACTGCACATGCCAAACTCATGCTGTATGGTTTGTTAGAAAACTTGCAGCAGCGTGTGCTGTATTGTGATACAGACAGCGTAATTTTCACAGCACGCCCTGGCGACTGGATGCCTCCTATTCTCAGCTGCATTTGAATAAAGCACCAAATCCACACTTTTAAGCTTAAATTTCAAAACTTACATTAACTACTGATTTTATCTACTGTTCTGATTTTATCTGTTTTGATTTTATATACTGTTTTGTTTGTTTGTTAAGTGGGTTTAGAGCTCTGGGTAGCTCCCCAGCTGGGTCTAGACTGGGTCTAGAGAGTATTTTAAATTCAGGGAATTTAAAATAGAAAGTAGCTCGTCCACAGAAGGACTGGTAGCTCCCCTTACGATAAGGGTTCAGATCGCGCGAACAGGTGTGAATGAATGTGTGTGTTTAGTTAGTTAGTTTATTTGCTTGTTTTAATCAATTTTAAATCATGCTTTTTATTTGTTTTTGTTTCTAATGTCTCTGTAAAGCACTTTGAATCACCTTGTTGTTGAATTGTGCTATACAAATAAATTTGCCTTGCCTTGCCTTGCCTTCTCTAGGTCCTTTTCTGGGGGATCTCACCAGCAAATTAGCTTCTGGGCAGAGGGGTGTGGAGGATCACATAGTGGAATTTGTTTCCGGTGGGCCAAAATGCTACGCGTATCACACATCGCTGGGCAAAACACAGGTCAAATGTAAAGGGGTAACACTGAATGCGCAAAACTCCAAAGTTGTCACCCACGAATCCTTGAAAGGTTTAGTCCACAAGTTTGTAGCCAATCAAGCATCAGACGCACACATGGTGGCTGTGTCTGATAATATCAAACGCGATAAAAAGAAGCTTCATTTGAAGAATGCTTCAAATGAAGCTTAAAGTTGTCTACAACAAGCGCCGTGTGCTCCCAGACTATACTACACAACCTTATGGATTTTAAATTAGATCAGGGTTTGATGCCCGGTACAGCACCTGTTTAGCATGGTGGTCAGTGATCCCAGTAACTGCGGCAAGACTTTTTTTGTCAAAAATGTCATTGAAAATGTTGCCCGGATTATTTCACACAGCATTGATAACATTGTGTATATATGCTCATGCTGGCAGCCACTCTATGACCAGCTTCTTAAAATAAGATAAGAGACATAAGCTTATACCGTTAACAGTATACCCGAATCTCTGGCTGATGACACCCTTCTGCCTACAGACAAGAATAATTTGTTAATTATAGGCGATGTATTGAATGATGCCGCCAACAATTTAAAAGTACAAAATGTTTTCACAAAGTATGTGCATCATAGGAATTTGAGTTGTATATATCTGGTTCAGAATTTGTTTATTCAAGGAAAATCCAGAAGAACTATTTCCTTGAACACTAACTACCTAATACTGTTTAACAATCCTAGAGATAAATATCAAATCATGCTTTTAGGAAGACAAATGTTTCCTGGTAATACTAAATATTTTAGGGAAGCGTTTAATGATGCCACACCCACAACATATGGGTATCTGGAGGGTTTTTACTACCCTTATTAGGGGCTGCAATCCCTTTCATAACCACTCTGATAGCAAACAGGTGAAAATGGAGCATGTGCAAAAGATGTTTTTGGTGCCTCAACATCAGCTGGACTTATTGAAGCAACCGCAACAGCACACAGGCAACATCAGACAGCAGGCTCAGAATGACTTGGACAAGGAGATGCTTCATGTGTTACATGAATCAGACATAGATGTGTATGAGAAAGCTAAAAAATATGGCGATATTCTCCAAAGAT